AGTATGTATTCGTCATGAAAACATATGCAATCATAAGAGAATGAATATTCCCAAATCTCTCAGCTTCAAATCTAAGACATTACTACTAACCTATTAAAGCTGTGATAGACACCCTGAAACTTTAAACTGTTTACACTGATCAATTATTGAGTATGAATCGAATTATTTAATAAATTATGTTAGTTAATAGGTGTAGAGTACTTAACAACTATCTTTATTTGAACTAGAATTGTTTTGTCAAAAAAAATAGCCTTTGTAACTCACTTAACATTGCCTTAAATTTCAGTATCTATATGATTATAGTTGAATATACACAATAGAGTCATTCTTCAAATGAATTACGTGACGAATGATATTGATCAATGCTTAATTCTCGTTTTGTAAAGTTAATAGCTAAGCTTGTGCCTAAAACTATTTAAAGTTACAAACATTTACACTCAATTCAATGTCATTATGCATATTAATGTTTTTGTTTTTGTAATTGAACATTTACTATTTTTAGATACAAGCTGTCGATGATGATGCTGGTGAAAATGGTACAGTCATATATTTTATACATTCTGGTAACGATGACAATTATTTTATATTAGATCAAAATACTGGAACACTTAGTATCAACAAAAAAATTCCATATACTGCAATAGGTGAACATATTCTAAAGATAGAAGCAAGAGATTGTGGACAACCATATCATTTTACTATAACGGATTTCATTATAGAAATTGATGATTCCACTTCAAAAGCCTATTTATCTATGAATTATTATCATTTAAATAATGCTGATGAATTTAGTAATTTTGGATCAAGTGGATATAAATTAAATTTTTATATTGTTATAGCAATTATAACATCCGCTTGTATTATATCAACTATTCTGATATGTTCAGTATTTATTATTCTACGTCGTTCTAAAAGAAATAATGTATCACATGATAGAAGTAATAAAATAGACAATAATACACGTAATCATTGTACAACAAATATAACATATTCACCTTCAAACTGGTCAAAAATAGATCAATCACAGAATTATGATTTTTCTAGACCTTCTAATAGTTATCGAGGTAATGTTGAATGAATTTTTAACTTTCTTTCTTTCAAAACTTGATATTTCAGTAGTTGAGATCATGAGTCCATTGAAGCTAGACCACCATGGAAAACCTGAAAGCACTGAACGACCAACTCGCCCTAATGTGGGAATCCTCAGCAATGCGCTCCCATAATCCCGCCTCGCGAGACTCGAAATCAGGACCTATCAGTCTCGCTCTCGAGAACTTAGCCACTAGACCACTGAGCCAGTCGGCATCAAATGGTGTTAGTGTCTAACTTCAACCAATCCACGAAATTGAGCGAAACATCCACCATTGTCATCAATGAGTTACTATCTCACAACCGACCGGGTTAAAATCCACTGGCCATTGCTTCTCACTATATCTCCAGAATATACATCTTGAAGCCAATCACTAGTGATCATATGCGTACATATGAGCATATGCGCTCGCGCGCAAGTCTGATAGGTTCGTATCTCGCAAGGTGGGGTTGTGCATAATCACTGCTGGGGAGTCCCACAATAGGACAAAACCGCCATCCAGTGCTTTCAGGTTTTCCATGGTAGTCTAGTTTCAATTGATTCATGATCTGAACTATTGAAATTACTTCAATCTCCACAAAACCCCTTCTGAAACTTGACTGTCTTTGTTTTTATAACTACTTCTAAACTGACAGAAACTGATTAATTATATCGGTTGATATACATACTACCTTTTTGTGAGATTAGCCTATCGGATGGATTAGATGATATTGTACTGCATTTTAGATTTTCTACGTGCCTGAAGACTATAGATGCGTAAAATACTGTTCCTCATAAACTTCTGAAATTGTTATTCCCCATATGGTAACTGTTGGACAATGTATTTGAAATATTTTTTCAACATGTGTAAATAGTTGAATATATAAATTAAAAAATTAAAAAACTCTATATATCACCTTGTGTTCGATATTTGAATCACTTTTGTACTTGTCAGATTTTGTGACGAATTAGTCTTTAGCACAATGTGAGATTATAAGGTAATACGATTAACGATTTAAACGTTGTTTACATGAATACAAATATACAGATCTTAAGTTTTAGGAAAAACTTTATATGAAAATCTAAAAAAGTTTGTACTGATCAAAAACCAAAGTTGAATACTACATAAACATACAAAGTGTCCATTTCATAATACCTTAAACTATGCTGATACACAAGAGTATATGGGATGGATACTAAAACGAAAAGTAGATTAAACGGCAAGAACTATTGGAACCATTGTAAATAACATGAACTTTCGATTTAGAATTACATTCATTTATTTTTTTGAAATATTGCTGCTCATCTCTCTATATTTCTTTTCTAATTCAATGCAATTCAGTAATTCATTCAATACCTGACTGCTTATCACAATTTCCTAATATTGAGGGTCAAACAAGTTTGGAATTAACAAATTATCCAAATGGTAAACTATTATCAACTCCTCATCAAGATTCAATGTTTAATAAATGTTCCAATAGGAATATATCAACAGAATACTGGGATTATAATAATGATAATAATAATAATCACATGGATATAAATACAAATAATATGAACAGACATAATGATCTAATGGATAATCAAAAGATTGAAATATATATCCCTTCATGTCAATACATGAAAATGATGGATTTAACAGATGAGACCGATTTAAAATATTCATATGATGCACATTTAAACTACTTTGATGAAACACAACAAAAATTTAGTTTGAAAGCTTATCAGAATGATGGAATTATTCAATAATCAACCATGAAATAATCATTCATGAAATCATGATTATCTATACAATAAACGATGTACGTTTAATTTCTAATTATTCTCATTATTAGTCATATGCAGTAATCCATCCAAGAAAGTTTGCTACAAGGAAATCTAATTACCATAAAATATCAATTTTGCTTTGCTTCAGAAATAAAATATGGGTAAAAGTGTATTACACAGACTATTTGGAATTATATCAGAAATAATCTAGGAATCTTCACGTCTCTTACTATCCAGTGAGTATAACGATTGTCCAAATCAGAATTCTTTCATTTCAGAAGTGATGAAAAACAACTAAATATGATGGTTTTGGGTGATATATTCAATATTTTAATGTTTATCATATTGCTTTGTTCATGATGTTCAGGATAAAATATGCATCTATTAAAAAGAATACTAGTTTACTCTTGCATTCTTTGTATGGTCATAAGTGCCTCGATAGTCAACTTCTTATAGTTTTTTTATATTGTTCAGGGACATAACAGAATGTCGACTAAAGAATAAAATAATGTCATCATATGAAAAAAACATAGTGGTGAAAATATCTGTTTAATCAAGTATTTCTATGACATAAGATCACTTTGTAGTAAATTGGCGTCGTGACAAACTAGATGAACGTTTATTTTGCACAAATGATAATATAACTATTCCACATAAAATTTTGTTTCCAGTGAAATAACTGCCAGATTTAACATACTTAACATATAATTTTCAGAGCGATTTCTATGTATTAACTAACAACAGATTCACTTACTTTTACATCTATGATTTCAGATGAAAACAAAGGCAAACAAACAAACTGAAAGGAACACTATATTCATTGACATAATATTGAAGTGAGTTTTCAACAACATTTTGTTGAACTTACCAACAGTTAAAAAACATATCTGATGAATATTATGATTAAACAAGTATGCGATTTACGTCTTGATTTCTATTCAACCTACTTTCTTTTAGAATATCCCCCCCCCCAAGATTTATGACTATAAGTTTATTTTGTATAATAATCTAATCGTCTTGGTAACAAAAGTAACACAATCGTTTCCTTTTTATGAAGCATAATGTAACAGACAAACATAGTTTTTATAATGAGGAAGAAGAAAAAAAACTAGGGAATAAATCAGAATGTGGTTAAAACAAACCATCTATGTAAATTGATTTAATTAGTGTATAATCAGACATTTGAATGTATCATCATTTGACATGATACTTTCATATATCTAATGCAAAACTAGACGTTTAAATTATTTCTGAAAAGAACACAAAAAAATACAAAAAAAACTTTTTATGTTCACTTAACAACTAAATAATTTGTAGTAGAAATATGTATTATTATTTTTTCTAGAAAAATTAATAATACACATCCACAGTAAACAGATATTCCCATGTAAAATGACAGTCCAACTCTTAAAGTACAAATGGATCGAATATATAAAGAGTTATGTTAAATACTATATCTATGATTTGTAATAATAAAGCTGAATTGTACCATTCATAGTATGAATGATGAAGACAACAAATATAAAAAAATGAAAAAGTTTTAGTAAGTGAAAAACGTTTTGTACTATGAAACAATGTTGAATGAAAGAAAGAAAGAAAGAAAGAAAAGTTTTCATTGATTATTGAAATGCTTTTGACATGTATAATTGTGTGATGAGATTATAATTTATGGACGAACCAATCAGGTATAAGATAATAAGTCTTGGATTTTGGCATGAAGTTCACTCATCTATTTGGTTAAATATAGTTTTGGTATTATAGTTGATATTAGTTTGTGATGAAAACCCTAAATTTAATTCCCAACCCTAATCATCAACTGTTAATCATAATTCTAATTCCTTACATTGGTTTATAACCGTCATTTGATCCTAGTTGTTAGGATGGCACTCCCAAGGTCACTTTAGCGTCACTCAAAGGTTGTCCACAAATAATAGTCTCCCTGTAAGATGCAAACTATTTAAACTAAAGAATAGCTGTCTAGGTGGGTTAGATACGCGTCCTTACCCGGTTGAAGCCAAAACAAAGTAATTGGGTAAAATGACGGTGTACTATTCTGGATCAAAACAACATCTATACTGTTTTCTTTAGTTTCCAGATTAATATTTGTTGAGGGTAATTGATCATGCGAATTAGTGTGATTTGGATAGGATTTATTAATATCTAATCAAGATAATTGTTTACCAGAAGGTAGTACGAAACCAGATTTGTTATTTAACGATTCAATCATACGTAATTGGTCCTGATTTTGAAGATCACTGTCACTTAATTTGATTGGCATGATAGACCAATTTCGATTACGAATTTTCATACGTGACCTATTAGAACGGAAATTTTCACAATCCTGTAGACTAATAACAATTCCCGGTAGGACACGAACAGCTTCACGTATATTTGTAGAAAGGTTATTCCAAGATGTCCAATTTTCATCAACTGTACTCCCATTTTTCAATTGAATGATATCACTGATTAATCCATGTGATTGTAGACCGATTAAACGAAGGCGACAAAAGTAACCTGTTACATCATCTAGTTCAAGTGCACATTGTGTATGATACATATATTTACTGAGTAGAATAAAACACATCGGAGAAATATCCACAAGTTTTGAAAGACTTTTTTTAGATAGATCATTTAATCCCATTGAATAATTTAAATGAAGATGGTTGCATTTTTGGAGTTTTGGCTTTAGTAAATATATTCCAGAAGCGAACTGTTTCATCTCCTGCACCATTTTCTCACTATCTGGACTGATTGCTAGGTACAGCACATGATATGAATGCCCAACCAACTTGACTCATTGTGTTAGACTAGGATATATCCAAACAAGAATTCGATTCTATAATTAACCATGTGTACTGGCCAATTCTTTACTATGTATGGACCAGGCAATATTACAAACCTGACTTCCAGTATCCACGCTACGTAAAGCCTGACCAGTTAATCTATTCCAAAATCGAATACAACGATCAGCTGTACCACCTCCACTTGCGAGTAATCCATGTTTTTTTTCATAGAATATAGTAGGATTAATCAAGAGTAAAAGTTTGTTTATGATTGAAAAGATTATTCAATTGTTTCTATGCTTATTTCAATGATTACAATCTCTATGAATGGTATTTTAAATAATTATTTAAATTAAATTTCAGGTCTCAGTTGGATATGTATATTCTACAAAATATGATGAAATGAACTATACATATTAAAATAACATTACTTAACATACCAGAAGAAGAATATGAATTGGCAAGTATTTTGTTTGCTTATTTATCCATGTAATACTTTCATTATTCTAGACAATCTTACTTAAACCTCATGCTAACAGATATACATATATATTTTCTCAAAAGATAACAATCTCAGTATGCTATTTATATGTAAAGCCATTATAAAATTTCCCAATGGTTTCTTAAATATTATTAAAGACATCACACTTAGGAACTGTATAATCTTGATTTGCATATATACCTAACTGTAAATAACAATACAAATAAGACATCGAAACTTTCGTTATTCATGTATTTCCCATGTACATGGTTTTTTTTGTAATTTTCTTATAATTACCTTTAAAAAATACATCATATTTCCTCCATTATGTATGTTTCTTTTTAACTAAAATTACGAGGTTGTAGGGCCTAAAGGTAGTCTTCAACAATTGTATTATGGGTAGTAGATTATTGTTTCCTTTATAAGAACCTTAGATTAAAAATGATCATAAGACAAAAGTGAACTTGAATTTTCTCAATAAGTGTTCGAATTAGAACTAAATCCTTCAATAATTTAAATGATATTTCTTTCTGAATTCCAATATCATTAGCGATAACATACTTGAATTAAATTTTATCTTAGAACTGAGAATAAAATTCATTCAATAAACCATTGTTCATTTCACCTGACCACTGTGATTTCCTGTGTTCAGATGTAAGTACAACCAACAGAATTTAACATTAAAGTTCTTTTAAGTGTTTAGTAACAGAATGTTCTAAGAGAATACATTCAGTAGAAAATCGGACAATACTGAGGAGAAAGAAGTGCATGTATATGCAAAAACGTTAGATCGAGAACATGATTAGAATTAACCAAGTATTTAAAGTTATAAACTGAATTCAAAGCTAATGAAAATGTATTTGGATATTTATCTATAAGCGATTAACTATCATGACTAACCTTATGTTAAGTAAAATATCTTCATAAGAAAGCTCAATACTATATAATAAGTGGAGATATTTTTATGTAGAATAAAGCATATTTCAGGAATATTAAAAAAGAACGTTTTCTTAGAATAGATGCGTGCAAAAAGAAGATTAAGATTTCCTACGCACGTTATACTACAACATACTAATTATTCATGCAAACGTGAGGGAAGTTTTTCTAGTGAATCATTCACATATATAGTAGTTAAAATGTAAATGATATAAGAAATTTATAATGTTCAGTATTTTACAACTTATATTTCATTAAGGGTAAAAGTATGTATTATCCGAATATGTATTTATGTATATGTTCACTCATAAATGTTTAAGCTCAGCAATAAACATTGATCAAATTAGTGGTTGTGAAGATTGTTAAGTTTTTGATTGAGATCGTGAACCGATTGATGTTAGGCCACCATTGAAAACCTGGAAGCACTGGACGGCCGTTTCGTTGTATTATGGGACTCCTCAGCAGTGCGCATCCACAGCCGTCTAGTGCTTCCAAGTTTTCAATGGTGGTCCAACATCAATCGATTTATAATCTCAATAATAAACTTTGACTTAGATAGATGTTTTGTTACATAGTCAACAAGAACATCGTGAAGTGCAAAGTTACAGTATGCTTTCATGAAATATGAAAACCAAACATTAACTACATAATTTACACATTTTTTCATCAATTGTTCATTAAATGCTTCATGATTCTATCGGTTCTTTCTCTTCGATTGAATCTTCTCAATTTTCTGTTGTTATATATACAACTTAGATCTGTCAATCAACATAAGTCGAATATACTACAGTTAGAACTAGTATCAAGAAATATTCAAGCATTTTAAAGTACTTCACATCAACATCTTGAAATTGTCTAATAATATATTCCTGTTAACATATAAATAAAGTCAATGTATATTTTACCTCATATTGTATATCAATTTGATGACGTGAAATAAAAGAATGAACAACAGCAACAACAACAACGACAACAACAATAACAACAATAGGACGAAACGGCCGTCCAGTGCTTCCAGATTTCCAAAGGTGGTGGTCTAACATCAATCGGTTCATGATCTCAATGAAAAATGTAATAATCTCCATAACCCCCATACTAGTTTTTTCTAACAATAACTAAGTCTTGTCGAATTTTACATGAAATTACAAACTACATTTTGTAATACGTGTAAAAATGTCAATTTCTTTCATTAGATACAAACATGATTGTTTTTTTCTAAAACAAACCAGAAAAACAAAAAAATTGTCAAACAATCCAAATTGTCAAATTTATTTAAAAGTTTACTTTTTTAAAATGTATGACGCTGGTGAAATTCCAATCCATTGATTATTGAATAGTCATTCAAGTGATATAAAGTGAATATATATATATATATATATATTGTTAATTTAATTTTCACATAATGTTATATGAGTTGTAACAGGAAAGATCTATTCACAAAGACAACTTAAGTGTTTAAGTTATATTAAGAAAATTTAATTGTATAAAGGTTTTGATTGAAATCATGAACTACTATTGAATAATTGGAAGCATTGGATTACCGGTTTGTCCTATTGTGGGACTCTTCAGCAATGTAAATCTATGATCTTACTCATAGGATTCAAACCAAGGGTCTTTGATCTTGCTCGCGAGTGCTTATCCTCTAGACTAGTGAACTAGCATCCTAGCTTACCAAACTAAATGAAAGGTGCATATACTTTTATGATAGGCTATTATGATAAAAGCAATTTAGGAGTTACTTTGTCATCCGTTTTTATATTTTACGTAGATTAATTTTGAAATGATTAAAGGTAAAAGGAAATTTGTGAATTAAAGAATCATGTTTTCTTTTCGTTTATTGAAACACTGATACATATGGGTTATGCATAAATAAACATGGGACATATAAATGGTTCATATATTATTTTCTTTGTTTTTACGAAACAAATCTTTGAATACCTTATCTATTCAGTATCAGCGTTTCAATTCAAATATTATCACTATCAAGTTTTTGTTGTAGATCACCAACGTAGATGATCTATGTCGAAATGATTGGAGGCCTACTCGAGTTAGACGTGAATGGTGTGACAAACTAGCTAATGTCGAAGTCACACCTTGTGGTCAGCACCTTACGTGGACTACCCCATTGACGTATCAAGGTACCATAGATGCTTTGAAGACTGTACAACACAGAGGACGTTATTACAGAAATATATTAGTTAAGGTAGATACAAGCAAAAGTAAGACCACTGCCGCATGGGCCAGTCCATGGCATATGATTAACTAATGCGCGTTGGTTGTATATGACCTTGGCAGGGAGCGATGATCTGTTCGACATTCAGTGATCCAACTGCCGGATGATTTGGCTAGGGCTCAGTTCAATTCACTGGCCCTACATTGTATTAAAAATTGTAATTTAAAAATCGATTTATTCTAGTTTGCTTACTTTTCATAACAAACCTATATCAGTGTGGGTTTTTTTGTACTTGAGTATTAGCCTCATGAAACATTTTTAGCGGTTATTATCATATGTAGACAAAGATGATGAATGAATATGAACGAATAAAAAAAGCAGTGAATTATCTTTGAATGTTGGGAGTTATGCAATGATTTAGTTGAACAGATCTAAATATGTTTACCAGAAGGCAGAATGTGTGCTTATGGTAATATTTGATGTCACTTTAGAATCTAATATGGTTCAAAAGTACAGAACAGAAATAAATAAGTTGTAGTATTCACGAATTACTATCTTTTTCGGTTGAAGTCATAGAATATTGACCTTCCTGATGAATATATATATGGATCAAACCATATCGCAGGTCATGTACAGTTATGGGTAGTTTCCAAGAAATCTCTCAACTGAAATCTAATCACGTATTCACTAACAACTTGCCTCGGGATGAATTTTCATAATTCTAAAAGCACTTCATATCTGATGCGATTCAGCCCTATTAGGACTAAAACTGTCACTATTAGGAGAATGATATACTACAAAGCCTGGTTAGATTGTAACCTGTTCAGTAACAACCGGTGAGTAAAAAGCTCGAGTGTGGAAGTATTTAGGTCGACCAAGTGGATTAATTTGTCTGAATGGCTGCCAAATTATCCACTTCTGGGTAAGATCAATATTATATGTTCTCATAATTTGTTTTTACATTGACCTAGTCATTAGAAATGAAACTTTCTGTTCCAAATTAGCTTTAATATTCAGTAACGCTGGTTAAGCCAGTGTTTAAAAATATATTTCATGATTGAATCGAACTGTTATACCATTGAATGATCTAAATTTGTACTGTTTTTAAAATGTTAACCATTGAATTTTAAATCATATATACAGTTCTTTCTTCATCTTTTTCTACAAACTATAACATATTGATGGATAGTGGCTAGCAGTGGAATCCAGGACGCGAGTTTCTTCCTCTTCGAAACTCGTCATCTGGGTGTACCTGCATCTCAGAGTTGATGTTCACTCTGGGACTCGAACCCAATATCATTCGCTTCGAACTCCATCCATCATTACTTACAAAAACCTCATGAATTAAGGCAATATTGAGACATACGCACAGTATGCACATATGCTTATAACAGACTGATCCATTACAGTCTTAAACCTCAATGGGAAGATACAAGCCTAAATAATACCAAGTGAATTTATAACATATTGATTTCAGATAATAAAAAAACAATAAATTACAATCAATACAACTAGTCATCTTCTTTCATCAATGAGGTAACACTTGATAATGGAATACGTTTTTTTCTAATCTAGCGCAAACCCATGTTACAAACATATTCTAGTCATAATATTCCGGAAAAAATTTAGTGACCTTACAATTGACTTGCTCGAGAGAGAGAGAGAGGGAGAGAGAGAGGAAAGAAAACAAACAAGCGTCAAGTGATTTCTGTTGTATTTATTCATTTGTTTACAGTTAATGCACTTCTTTTGAAAAATTCTTTTTTTTTGTTATTACTAAGGTGACATGTAATTCAATTAGTAATAACAAAAGAGTCT